TGCCCCCATCCCCCAGTCACTCTGCCTCACCCCCCCTTAGCCTCCTTCAAGTCCCACCTCAAGACCCTCCTCTTCGACCATGCCATGGGTCACCCCCCCTTCCCCTCCCCTCCCCCTCCCTGACCCCAGCTCGTGTCTGAAATGCTGTACACTGTCCAGCGCCTTGGGACGTCCTCCGGACGTGAAAGGCGCTATACAAATGTAATCTTGTTGTTGTTGTAGTGAGATAGACCGGTTGCAGACCCCTGGCCTAGATCATGTACTCAAATCTGGGCGAGGGTGAGAACCAACATTCCCCTGAGACAGAAGAGCGAAGAGTTTACCAAACCTGGGGAACCAGAGAAAGTATATGTTCATTTGCTAAATTTTTTAAAAAAGAAAATTAATTGTCTAAGGCTGCAGTAGATCTGCAACCACTGGCTGCAGCAGTCATCAATTTTTTTGGTCAGCCACTCATTCTGATACATGTGGAAACCCATCACCATGCTGAAGAGTATCCAAACCAAACTTGAGAATTCCATGCATCCCACCTACACGTGGAAATCCCAGAGACAGATGGTTGGAATGGAATGTGCGCTCTCTCGCTTGCGGGGGAAACATTCTGTTTACCTAATTCCGGAAAGTATTAGTTGATTTTTTGGGCAAGTCACCTGGCCAGACACATTGGAAAACACATCAACATAAATCTTTGCATTTCTATTGGAAAATCTAATTTGCATGTAGACATGCAATGGAAAGGACACAATTGTGATCTTAACAGGTTTTTATTCCCATCAGTAACTTATACAAAATGAAATGTGATCTCAGCTCAAGCTTTGTATTGTGACCTTCAAATCCCTTTGTGATCTCCCCCTCCTGCTCACCCATCCACTAACCCTCTTGCTCATGCCTCGGCAACCTCTGATTCTGGTCTACTGTTGTGAAGTCCCGTGGCATAGGGGTTAGCGTGCTCGCCTTGCAAGTGGTTTGCTTTGATTGGTAATAATCCCTCTGAAGAAAATGTGGTATGGATAGCTCTTTAAAGAGCCGGCACAGACACGATGGGCCGAATGGCCTCCTTCTGTGCTGTAGGATTCTATGATTCCATGAAACAAAAGTGTAGTTTTAATCCATTACATTAAGGCTTTTTGGCTGTTTGAGCATTTCCATAGATACATCATTTTACTTTCTAATTTTCTCCGGTACCTTGTTATCAGTTGTCCTCAGGTACCAACCTTCCTCCAGTACTTATGCTCAAGTGACCAAATGTAATGTGTGAGTCTTATCAGCAAGTATCAATAGGCTACAACACTCCCCACTCCCCCAACTCCCTCCCCAACCCCCACCCACTGCCCCCCTCCCCCACCCCCTCCCCACCCCCTCCCTCAACTTCCTGCCCCCTAACCCCCCCCCCTCCCCTCTAGGAAGTGTTCACATGTGTTATTGCTCAAGTTGCATTATTTGGGTGACTCGGGATTTGGGTCCTTTTTATGTTTCTTTTGTCTCCACTTTCCAAAGGAAAAAAATATCCATTTCCTGCCCCCCCCACCCCCCCCCACCCCCCCCCTCAACCTCCCCCCCCAACAATTCAACCCTCCCCCCCCCCCCATAGACAATTGGCCCCTCACTCACTTCATGGCTGTTTGTGGGACAACAACAGCAGCAATGAATTACAGTTGTATAGTGCCTTTCACATCCCAGGACTGGCGAATGTTGCAATCCATCCCAGGCAGAGGTCTTTGGACCTGAGCTGGGAGTTGGGGTCAGGAGTGGTGGAGGGTGGGGGTCGGGGGTCGGGGGGTGGCTGAAGGCACGGTCGAAGACCAAGGTCTTTAGATGGGACTTGAAGGAGGCGAGAGTGGGGGTGAGGCAGAGGGATTGAGAAATAGTGTATGTGACCATTTTTTCCCCTCTCATTTTGGGGGTTGGCTGCTGAGTGAATGTTGCAAGCAGACTCCGGGAAGAATTATTAAAAATTATTAAATATTGGATGGGGGGTAAGTAAAGTGTCATCAGTTTATCTCCCAGGAACGTCTGTGTGCCCCGACCTCCCTTAAAACACACCAGGAAAGCAACACAGTAAACAGTACAGTAAACTCCCAATAATCTCCGTCTTAATTTAACAATAATAATAATCCTTGTATTTGATATAGCTCCTTATCACATCGTTGAGACGTCTCAGAGCGCTTCACAGAATGTACTGTGAAATGAAACTGTGTATATTTGTGAGCAAAATGCGGCAGGCAGATTTGCACAAATTCATTTTCATGGCTGTTTGTGGGACGGAGTGGCTTACGTGGTGCGTCTGCAGGGCAACGTCTCAGCACAATTGTGCTCCCGCATTTGCCTACAAATGCACACTCCCATTTCACAGTAAATCCTGTGAAGCACTTTGAGACTTCCTTCCGACATGATCAGGCCCGATACCAAATGCAAGGATTATTATTTTTTGATAACCTTTGCTTTCAAGAGTATTGATCATTGTTTATTTGGCAGAACTTTATCCTTAAACTTAGCATAAACTATTAGGGGCACATGATCCTGTTTCCAGAGTTCCTTTTCTCAAGTGTTGTCTCTGGTAAAGGACAGTGTTGCCCTTTGTTGACAGACACAGACTGCTTTCAGAAGCCTAATGGAGATTTAATCTAATACAGATATACAGGGTTTTATGATGTGACCCTTTTGCAAAAAAAAAGCTCAAATCAGATTTAGGTTCATTGAATTATCTAAGTTTACAATTAAGAAGTATTATTCATGGTGCCCGCCCCGAGAGGTAACAGAAACATATTCCTGAGAAAATTTACAAGGAGTCTCTTTTTATTTGTATGAGTAGAGTTTTAGATTTGGAAAGGGGAGGAAAAACTTAAAAGAGTTTAGATTTTTATAGGGCCTAAACATTGATAAGCGCTTCACAATAATTACTGTCACGTGCAGTGATTTTATTTTTCTGACAGCAAATATGGAAGGCATTTTACACACACCAAAGTCCTGCAAACAGCCATACAGTGAATGACCAATTTACCTGGAGGAGTTTTGACCAGGATGCCAGGAGAAATTCAATTCTCTTTTCAATTAGTTTTTGATAACCTTTGCTTTCAAGGGTATTGATCATTGTTTCTTTGGCAGAACTTTGTCCTTAAACTTAGCATAAACTATTCGGGGCACATGATCCTACTTCAGTTTTCATTTTCTCAAGAGTTGTCTATTAATAAAAATAATAATAATCCTTGCATTTGACATAGTGCTTTTCATGTCTTCTAGATGTCTCAAAGCGCTTCACAGAATATACTGTAAAGTGAATTGACTGTATATTTATGCGAGAACGCGGCAGCCAATTGCGCACAGCAGTGTCCCACAAACAGTCATGGATTGAAAATGACCAATTTATTTTTGTTTTGGAGGGATTATTATTAAAGCACAGTATATACAACAACAACAACTTGAATTTATATAGCGCCCTCCACGCCGGACCGCGACTCAGAGCGCTTCACGATAACGGATCCCGGGGATATTATATTGGCATAATACTGATAATCCTCCATTTGATACAGCTCCTTATTACAATGTTGAGATGTCTCAAAGTGCTCCACAAAATATACAACAACAACCAAATGACATTTGTGTAGCACCTTTCACCTCGGGAGGATGTCACAGTATACTGCAAAGTGAATTGACTGTGTGTTTTGTGGGCGAAACATGGCAGCCAATTGTGCACAGCA